TAAACCAGGCATGGGCGTGGCCAGCTCGTGACGCATCCGGTCTGCGGGCCAGGAGTTTGATAACCCTGGCATAAGAGGTTATAATAAACAATATCGAAGTAACTACCTTATACTTAATTAAAAAGTTCTGTGGAAAGTAAATTTCAGTGACCCTCTTACAGAGCTGTCTGACGTTTGAGAGGCTTCTCATTCACATTGATTGGTTGATCCATCCATCAATTCCATTTCTATAGCTGGCCATCTCAGCGGCTTGGTGGCTTACAATTTCACAAGTATAAGAACAATCAAAGCAATAAAAAGCCAACTTTTAAAACGAAACATCCAAAGTAAATATATACAGCAACCAAGTTCCTTAGCCATTTAACAGCAGTTGGCTAATTAGTTTTTTTCATTCTCTCAAGTTACCACGTCTGAAGAGCGATTTTGTGCTATCGGAGCCTCTGAATTGTGACTTTTTTTTTGTGCATGGCTCGGAAATCAGAAGAAGCACTGAATGCTGTTTTTTTTCCTTGCAGAAATGTTCCGCGGTGGCATGGGAGGAACTCTTGACCGAGACTTTGGTCGAAGCGATATAGCCCTGAGCCGTGGTTTTGGAGACACTTTTGGGAGAATGGGTATGACAACTAATCCACCACCACCCTCCCCCAAGAATCTAATAACCAGCATGCAGCAAGCAAGCCATTTTCACAAATGAGCATGATGCCACTTCATACTCAAAATCTTTCTTTTATCTCTCTTCTCAGTATGGTTTTCTTTAAAAAAAAAAAAGGTTGTTCCTTTACCCCAGAGAGGGACGCTATGCAGGATCTCATTTGTTCTGTATTTTTGAGACAATTAAGCCTAAGTCAGAAGCCTGAGGGTGGTTTTTTTAAAAAAAAATCTTAGGAGGTGCTATTGCAACTTAACAGCCTTGCAGGCTATTTAATTTCTATGTCAGAATAATTTTTAATGAATCTTCTCTTGTGGTATTTTCCTAACTTTAAAAAAAAACGTAGATCTATTTGAATAGTATGTGGATGATTTATAAAATAAAATAAAAAAACCCCACAGATGTTTGGAAGATTTCCCCAGCTTAAAATGAAATGGATTTATGTAACTTCATTTTTTTCTATCCTCGTTTAGGTGCAATGGTTGGTGGTTTTGCAGGAGGCATGGGAGCTTCTAATATGGGCCCAGTAGGATCTGGAATGAGTAGGTTGATCTGTTCCAACAAAGAATAAATCCAGTTGTAGAAAGTCTTCTTAGCATTTGAGGTGGATCCAGGGGAAGAAAATCAGCGGTTGCTCCCCCACCACAAAAATAGGATTTCCTAGATCTGGGATGGCGAACCTTTTCGGCACCAAGTGCCCAACCTGTAACGTGTGTGCGGGGACATGCCACATGCACACACTGGAGCGCTGAAGTCCAGCTGGACGGCGCGCAAGTACACGCCACCTAATCTTTGGGTTTCCGGTGCAGGCATGCATGCTGGCTAGGAGGTCCTTGCGCGCGCCGGAGCGCTGGAAACCTGAAGACCAGTTGGGCTTTGGGTGCACCGGAAACCAGAAGAGCAGCTGGCGATGGCCTGTGTGCCCACAGAGAGGGCTCTGCATGCCACCTCTGGCACCCGTGCCACAGGTTCACCATCACAGTCCTAGATTATGGGGCTTAGTTGTAATTGGTGTTTATTAAGGGGCTTAGTTGTAATTGGTGTTTATTAAGATCTGTGATATATATATATATA